CCAAATCACATGTATCCAATGGAAGTTAGGATGGAAGTTAGGTTAAAGTTTTATGGATCACTAGCTTCGTTATGTAAAACTAAAAATGTGTAACATGTATCTACAGGTTAATGATCTCATGTCAAATTGTGTTTGAGAACACTGATGGAATTGCCAATGAGGTATCAGTCTGGTGATAAAAGGACGTGTTGCGACTCTTTGGGGTTCAAGTTCATTCTCTTGCTGTTTTAGTTTATCCTGGTTTGTATGTTAACCAATCACTTGCATAAAGCATCCTATCCTTTCTGATCGAAGGAGGAAAATTGGCAAGTAGCTATGCAAATTGCAATAAGCATCCGGTCCTCTCCTATATGTGAAAGTAATTTTTAGGATGTTTAAAGTTACTATTTAGCAAGTCAAAAGACACAGATAAGATGCATAATAGGAACTGAAATAATTGAAATGCTTCAGCCTAATACAAATATTGCCAGATTCTGTCAGTTTAATATCCAATGATAAGCCTTAGCGGTAAAAGCATATTTGGGCAGCTATGGATGGGTTTTCTCTTGGTCATGGACAAACAGCAAATGTTCTCTGCCGGCAACTGGCGATGCAGAAGTAAATAGCTCTCTTGTTTTAGTGGGTTCCAGTTCCGTATGCAGTTTGTTTGTAATCCACGACTGGAATTTTGTTGGTCCTCCATTTTTAACCATGTGTAGTTTCGATCTTCTTTGATGTCAATCTTGATTATTTAGTTGGTTTTTCATCTCGGTTACTTAAAAATGAACTCGCAATTTAGTTCAATTAATTCATGTATTACCTTTAAAAAATGACATATAATAAAGTTGAGATTCAAATTTTACTGCTTACGATACTTTCTCTTATATACCAAATAAATTTTGATTCGCTGGAAGTACGCATTGAACTTGAAATAAGGCTAACCCCACAAAAAAGATCCTGTCCTATGATTTCATTTGTTATTTTGCTAAGACAGAATAAATCACATCTTGATATTTCGGACTGCTGAGTATCTAAACTTAGCAGTGTTTGAAACTTGAGTACTTTGGTGCTTGCTTTGGATCTGTTTGGTTCATGGCTGCAGCTGATTCATGATTAATGTCTAATGATTCATATATATACTCAGATTTTAAATAATGGTCTTACTGACATGGAATACTAGAAATTTTCATTTCTTCAGATACATTGTTACAAAATATATATTAATATCAACAATATCACAATCAATCTGCTTGGAAAACTTGATATCATACGAAATTGCTGGGAAAAGCCATATGTCATGCCAGTATTCAAAGAGAGTAAGTAGACTACATTAATCTCATATAGAATAAGAAAGAAAATATTGATGGACATATAAACGTTGGTGTTACGCATTCCAATAAATTGATTTTGTGAAAAAAAAAATAATGATCACATGACACATGATTAAGTAGTTAATCACATGTGAGTTGTAATAGAGACGACGTTTTTGTAGACACCCAATTGGGTCCGGGCCCAGATCAATTGGGCCTGACCCAAATGGGTAAGGCCCATTTCAATCCTGTATATTTTTTTTTCTTCTTTTGTATTTTATGTATTCTATTATTATTATTATTATTATTATGTATATCTTTATTTATTTATTTATTTTTATTCAGATTAGATTTATATGTATTTTATTTATACAGTATATATATTATTATTTTTTTTGTGTAATATATTTTTGGGTTTATCTTATTTTATTTGTTATTATTTTTTTTATCATCTGTTAATTCTATCTTCTTTTCCCGAATTATCTGATATTATTTTTAATTTTTAATTTTTGATTTTCTTTTCTAATTATCTAGTTTTTTTTTATTTTGATTTTGGAGGGCTGAGATTGAAGGCTGAAGAATCCCATTGGAAGTGAGAATTCAATCAGAAGAGTCCAGTGGGATTTAAAGATTGAATTCCCGTCCAAGGAGGAATTGGGATTGATCAGAAACTCCTGATCAATCCCTATATAAAGCACCTCCTGGAACAGTTCAAAAAGAGAGAAAACAGTAAGTAAAGCTACTGATTTGAGAGAAAAGGAGGCGTATAGGAAGTTAGAAAAAGTTTAGGAGTGTTCTAGGAGTGAGAAAAATTTTTTAGAAATTTTTGGCGAAAATTTTTTTCTGGAAATTTCTGGGAAATTTCCAGATTCGGCGAAAATTCCGACGAAGTTTGAATTTTCCGGCAAAAATTCCGGCCAACATTGAAGTTTCCGGCGACCTGCCCAGTTTCCGACGAAGAATCCCAGAAACCGGCGACTTTCCGGCCAACTTCCGGTGAAATTTCCAGATTCCGGCGAAAATTTCCAGAATCCGGCACCGGTGTTCTTCGGTTTCTAGAGAGAAGGGAGAGAAAAAGGAAGAAGAGAGAGAGAGGGGGAGGAGCGTTCTGCCGAAAAACGGAGGAAGGTGCCTTTTATACCCTCCCAAAACGACGTCGTTTTGGCCTTAAGTAACCCAGAGGATCCGCGCGTTTTGCCGTAACCCGACCCGACCCGGGCGTCGACCCGCTTTCTGACCCGCGCGTGCCAGCCCACTCCGAGCCGAGCCGAGCCGAGCCAAGCCGCCAAGCCGCTCCCCCGAGCCGTTTTCTCTTCCTTGAGCCGAGCCGAGCCGCGATCCGAGCCGCTCCAGGTTTTTTTTTTTTTGAATTTTTTTTATTTCTTTGTTTATTTGTTTATTTTATTTTTTATTTTTTATTTATTAGATTAGGTTTATGTAATATTCTTTTTATTTATTTTTTATTATTTTATTTTCTTTAAATAAAAATAAAAAAATTCTAAAAAAATATTTTTAGAGAAAAGTTGAAAGTATCAATTTTCCTTAGAAATAAATTTCCAAAATAAAATATTTTTAGGGAAAAGTTGAAAGTATCAATTTTCCTTAGAAATAAATTTCCAAAAAAATATTTTTGAGGAAAAGTTGAAAGTATCAATTTTCCTTAAGAATAAATTTCCAAAAAATATTTTTAGGGAAAAGTTGAAATTATCAATTTTCCTTAAAAGAAAAATAAATTTCCAAAAAATATTTTTGGGGAAAAGTTGAAAGTATCAATTTTCCTTGAAAATCGAAATTTCCAAAGAATATTTTTGGGGAAAAGTTGAAAGTATCAATTTTCCCTAAAAAAAATCATTCTTTCCTTCCTTTTTATCTTAATTTTGATTTTGTTTTTTTCTCTAAATAATCCGACGACGGAGCCTCTGTAAGTGAAACAGTAGTTTTTCTTGCATACTCTTGAGGTGAGAGAATTTTTTCAATTTTCTGTTAAAAGTATTAGAGTCAA